AAAAAATAACATCTATATATATAAATAGTTATAGTATATTTTGTATAATTTACAAAAATGTCACAATACATTTATATTTATAGTAGTGTCTTATGTTTTAATTTATAAATTAAATAATATTTCTTTAAATGAATTTTAATATGCAAAGAGAGCCAAGTCTAGTATTATCATCGAAACATGACACTTGTTTGTACACAAATGACATTTATATTTATAGTAGTGTCTTATGTTTTAATTTATAAATTAAATAATATTTCTTTAAATGAATTTTAATATGCAAAGAGAGCCAAGTCTAGTATTATCATCGAAACATGACACTTGTTTGTACACAAATGTAAAAAGATAAAGTTGTGCATTCATCTTACCTAAAGTCTGCACTCTAGCAACAAGATTGGGTTCGACTACCACCAACATCTCGAAGTTAAGATTCTGTAGGCTAGAATTTGGGTCCTTAGGCTCCTTGGATTGGAGATTGGGCATGGATCTCTTATGCGCAGAGTCAATCTGGACGGGAGGAGTAGTGGTAATAACCATTTCTACTGTGTCAAAAATTATAACTAGCTGCAAATACACAACTTACTTTTTTATATTTACGTAGCAGCCAACGTCGCATTTCAATAATGGGATGTTTGATGTTGCACTTGCATTGACCCTATAAGCCTCCACCCAATCCCACGTGTTTTGGAAAATAATACCTTATACTTTTCAAGTTGTATTATCCTCTAGCTACACATTTCTAAAACAGTACAGAGTATAACTTTGCAAAAGACTAGAGATTATAAAATTTGTAGGAATTAAAAAAAAAAAAAAAAAAGTTTAGGGTGGAGTAGTGTGGGATGAAGGAATAATAATTTGGGAATTAATGAGAGAGACCGTACAGTTGAATGCAGGGAGGGTGGGAAGCACATGGTAGATGGAAGGCAAATGGAGTGTAGCTAGCAGAGTCAGTCCATGTCTGAAGTGTTGCCATTCCCCATTATATATTTATATATATATATGAAAAAATTGGGGTCTTGGGTTTACAACAAACACCATCATGGACTCCTTAACTGTTCTATATATTCATTTCTTTATAATTATACCTATAATAAGTTGCCAATTAACATAGTAATATGTGCTCTCCTCTCCCCCTTTTGGTATTTATTATATGTGTGTCGTACATACATAGAAGCACAACATAGGATCGTAATTATGGCGTGCCACCTATTTGTATCAAAGGATATCATTTTTTTTAGTTTTCACTACCCACACTCTCTCAATACTCCACCACTTTTTTGGTTGGAAGGAGGCTTGAAAGGTCCAGTTCAGCATCTTGTCATCAAAACGTGGTATGGACTTTTATACAAGTATATAAAAATATAGTTGTGACTTCGCTACTAGTTATACCTTGTACCATTGTGGTAAGTGTTTAATTTTAAAAATTGGTATCAGAGCATATTATGTAATTGCTCTCTCGCTAATAGTATTTTTAGCGTAATGTTAACCACTTGATTGTTGAGTATGGCGTTTTTTGTTTTATTTTTTAATTTTTTAATTTTCAAATTAAAAAATATACAAGTAGTCATATTTTCTGTTTTTATTTCTTCAATTTTTTTTTCTTTTTAATGTAAAATTTGATCCCTTAGTTTTCAGTTGTGATTTTGGTGTAGATTTTCTTTCTCAGTTATTAATAGTGCAAATTTAATTCCTAAATTCTTAACAAAAATTTGATTCTTAGGAATTTCTATAAAAACCATGACAACTAATGTTATTGACTAAATTTGCCACTTAATTAAGAATTTAAAATAAACTTAATTTTTACATGGTGAATAATTAAGAGACTAAATTTACATTACAATTACAACTGAGTAGGGCAACAAATGACCCGATCTAAGCTCAACTCGATCAAGTTTAAAATTTTAAGCTTGAGTTTAGCTCGCTAATTTTTATATTGCTCGATCTTAGTTTAATTGGCTCAAATTGACCTCAAGTTCGAACTTTGTGTCTATGTGTGTGTGTGTATGAGAGGTTCATGTGAGAACGTGCTCTCCAAGTAAAAAAGTAGAATTGATCTTATCCATCTATTTGTGTATATGAGCGGTCCAGAGTTGCTGAAAATAAAGAAAAAATGATGATGTTAATTTTATAAATATTGTTAACTTGAAAGTTATAATAATTAAAAAAAATGATCCTGTAATTTTTTTAGTAAAACATTCAACCATTGATGAACTCTGATTGCGATCAATCCTCACTTTTTAAACTCACCCCTACATATATATCCAAACTTGAATCAAGTTTTGGCTAAACGATTTGCAAGTGGCTCGACTCATTTGCACCATTACAATTGAGGTACAATAAGTGTTATTTTTTCACGTGTTTGTGTTGGGGTGTGGGTGGGTGGGTGGGTGTGGGGGGGGGGGGGGGGGAGGGAGTTCACATGCGAAGGAACTTCTAGATGACAAATGAGGTGAGATTTGAGTCGTTGATCTAATATAGATCAACTGCCCAGAATGATGAAATTTTTAAAAAAAAAAAACGCTTAACTTCTTGGAGTTATACACCCGTATATACAAGTATGCACCTGTAATTCTAAAGGTATGCACTTAAGCCAGCAAAGTTATGCACCTGATGATTAAAATTTATGCACTCGTAGAGTAAACTTTATGCACCCCAATGTGCAAAGTTATGCACCTTACAGTGCAAAGTCAAACATTTTAAAATTATGGATCTAATGATCTAAACTTATGCACAGTAAGCTCTAAAGTTATGAACCCAACGGTTTAAACTTTTGCACTTTAAGTTCTAAGGTATGCACTCAAAGAATGAACAATATGCAGACAAAAAATGAACAATATGCAGTCAAAGAAAAAAATAATGCACCAAATTTTTTTTTTTTTTTGAACTTACACAAATTTAATTACCATAATGTCACTCCAATTTTTTTATATTTTCTTCACTTCATTCTGGACTATTGATTTGAACAAGATCAATTACTGAGATTTAACCTTTATATATATATATATATATATATATATATATATATATATATATATATATATATATATATATATATATATATATATATAAAGTAATGGGTCGGACCCCGGGCTTGGTTATGCAACACTCCAGATAAAAAGCTAAAAAGGACCTTTCTGAATATCTGAAAAAAAGAGAGAACTTTTATGGTAATGTTTGGTTCTTGGAACACGCTCTTAAAGTTGTTACCCGAAGACTCCCTCCAATTTTGCATTATTAAACACCTCCAACATGTACTTACCCCCAACTCATTCTTCCATTGCATGTTTTCAATAATCAAACCATATATTATATATATACACGTATGTACCTATTATAACTCGATCCACCATATTTCATTCATTTTCAATTTACTCATTATTATCTCCACGTACGTTTTTAAGTTTATATTCATTACAAGATATTTCATCACATTTTAATTAATAAACTCAATCAAATTCAATGACCTCTAGCTTATTGGCTATAGGCTAGATGGAAACTTCAAATAGTACATTTATGCGGATAGAGTGTACTTAATTCATTATTTGTTGGGCATCGACTTGAATGACAGAGTCCAGCATCCTCCCATTGAAACCTATGACTAATTGCTATGCAACGAAGAAAATATATAACCATTCCAATTCAAGGGTCTACAAAAGGAACAAGATCAAGCTAGAACCATTTTGAGATGCATCAAATTATGAATCAAAGCATTGACGAGTTCTTATTTTTATAACTTGTGCGAAGCTATAATCACTTATTGTTAATCAAAATTATATCTGAGATCGAAAAGGTACATACTAGGTACCCCATGTCTCATTACCAACCTCCATTGTCTCTATCATTTTTGTATTTCTTATTCTCCAGTTCTATGGTGGGCCGATTTAAAATAATAATAAAAAAAAAACCATCATATTGATTATTTTTAATCTCTTTATTATCTCATCTTTTTAATTGCACTATTTTTTTCACATTGACATATATTCTACTTATTACACAACTCCACGGTGTTTGATAAATTAATCATTTTAATAAAAATTCTAAAGAAATAAAAGTTCTAAAGAACTTTCTACTTTATATATGGGCTAAAGTGTAAATGTAGAATTATTAATTTCCGTTAATTTTAAAATCTCTATCAACTATAAACAAACTATTAGTTTAGAAGAGAAAGATGAGAGGAGTAATTGTATTGTTTTAAATAAAAAAAAATATAAAAAAATAAAAAAAAAATAAAAGTCAAGGAAAGATTAGAAGTATTGATAATTATATAAATTGGTGGGGAAGTGTCAGAAGTACCCCTGCAGGCAGAAAATTAAAGAAAAGAATAATAATAAATAGAAAACCCCAAAGTAATAAAATAGTAGCTAGAATGCAACTGACGGACCACCATCTCATCCCACGGATCTCTCCAGTATTTTACGAGTTCTACTACATGTATTCCAATTTTACTTTCTGACGTGGAAGACAAAGATGGTATATTTCAATTATGTGGGTCCTTTACATCAAGAATTTGTAAGAAGGGATAAAAGTTATCAGTAAAAAGTGAGAATATATGTAATATTTTCTATATTTTACCTAATATGACCTGAAAAACATTTCATGAATTCCCCCTTCACAAGCTTCCAAACAAAGGGAATTTGGGAATTAATGGAAAGTGAGATTTGCAGGTATTATTCTCATTCTTGTCCACTGATTTGTCAAGGATAATCAACACCACGTTGTACTACATACATACATACATACATACTATACTACGTGAGAACAAACAAAACCTATTACTCCTCCTCTTCCTTGCCTAGTTCCTACCTACTATCATTTCATTCATCAACACAACAAAACACATAAATCTCTCTCTCTCTCCCTCTGTGGGCTGGTCAATGGGTATCTCTGTTGATTCCTTCCCCGCCATAACTACACCACCTTCAAGAAAACAAAACGCCACCTTCTTCTTCATCATCGTCTTCCTCTGCTTAGTTCTTGCTGGGAAGTACAATAACAGAAAAGCTTGGGTTTGAGATTTCTGGTGATAGATTTGTGTTTCCTAGCTTGTCATCAATCGTGTATCTATATATACATATATGGCTTTAGTTACCCAGATCGAGAATAGTAGCGACAACATTAGTTTCCCAGAATTGTGTGGGTTTTTGTTGGGGGTTTTGGGGGTTTGAATATGACCATGTTTGATAACAATTTTCCTGCTTATTATTATTACTATTATTCTGATCAAAACCTGTGTGGACAGCATTTTGATGGTCTTGGTCACGGGTATAGAGGTCTTATGAGCCAATTAGAACAGCAAGGGTTTCCTCAATCTTACCACTGTTACTATAATAAGAGCGCAGGTTGTTTGGTCGGGGCTCAGAATCTTGAAGAGGATACGGTAATGGCGGAAGATGAATCTAGGACGGAGAGTGTTAACGAGGAAGCTGGGCCCAGTTATTCTAAGGATGTCGTAGTGCCCGCTACGGCGGTTACGAGGGAGGAGGAGGAGGTGGAGGATGATCATAAGGGATGGCTTCAATTGAGTATCGGCGGCGGCGGCGGCGGTGGCGCCGCCGCGAGCGGCCACCATAAAAACGGGCGGGGTGGTCTAGGATTAGTGGAGCTCGATCTGCTGCCGCCTGGGCCGAGTAGTGGGCCGCCGCCGCTGCCGCTGCCGTTGCCGCCGCAGTATCCGTTAAGTGCGGCGGCGGCGTCGGGGGTGGAGTTTCGGCAGCCGCTGCCGCCGCATTTCCAGCTAACCAATAGTGTAGCGACGCCGGCCGCCGTGGGGTATATTAGTGCGCCCCCGTCTTACTTCTTGCAACAACAACAACAGCAACAGCCGGGCGCCGCGGACATAAACTGGGCAATCCGACCCGTCATGGCCATCCCGCCGCCGCCGCCGGGCGTTTCCGCCCCGAGTTCCTCGTCTCCCCCGTTTATGTACGCGCCGCCGCTCTCAGGCTCCCGCTTCGCGCCTCGCCCCGGTGCATTCCCATTACTCTACGCCGGAGTCGGCGGCGTAGCCCACGCCGCCGGAGGGTCGTCATCTCCGAGCTTGGACTTTAGAGTGATTGATCCTCCTCGACGTCCACTTTCCGGTATATGGTTTTCGCTTCAAGCTTCTCAAAATCAGTAAGTAAAAAAAAACCGCCATATATAACAACACCCATATTTCTAGCCTATTAGCCTTCTTAATTAGTTTATAGTCTTTTGCTAACTAAAATCACTAATTCTGGCTATGAATTTTTCTCGTCACCCAAAACAACACCCATATTTCTGTTAGTTTTCTTGTTTAATTTCTTCCATTTTCTGTTCTTTTTCTGAATAGTGTTTTGGCATACGTTGCAGAGCCAAGGAGCCATTTTTGCCGCAGATATCCAAGAGCTACCTAAGAATCAAGTCAGTATTCAATCAACCTTAACCCCAACAAATTCATATATATTCTTGTCGTTTAATTATTTCTGCAATTTCTTAGCAAAAAACTATCTCAGCTCATCTACATTCGATCTGTATGTGGGTTTAGTTTAATGATGTTGTTAATTTGTACATCATTCTTGTTATTATCAGAGATGGAAGCATGACAATCCGATTGGTGATGAAGTATCTAGTCAACAAGCTACAACTCGACAACGAGTCCGAGGTATGTAACATAAGCCCCTACATTCTTTCACCCTCTTTTTGTCCCCTTTTCTTGCTATAACTTTAACTACGCCTAACTTTAGAATCAGTGTATATCCTCAAATAGTAACAGTAGGTCAGGTCCGTTTCCCTCGTCACTCAAAAAAACCTAAAACTAAACTTTAGAATCGTTATATACGTACCCTCGAATAGTGACTGCAGTCTAAAACAGAATTGTCAAGTACGTAATGGCTGCAGTTTTAATTTCCTGATTAATCAAAAAACAAAAAATTGAAGTTTAGAATCATTGGATTTTGTGGAGTGGCAAATTAGAGATGGTTGGTGAGAGAGACAGCAGAACTAAAGGGTTTCTTAGATGACTTCATAATTAGGTGGGACGTACGTTTCTTGGAACCCATCTTCTGGTTTTGTATTATTAGCTTAAGCTCATATATAGATAGGGTGTTTGGCCTATACATACACACTTACACAACAAAACATGCCTTTTCTGTACGTCTAATATATATAATTATGGGAACCCTCCAGCTTCTGCTTGGTTATATCAGAAGTTGGTGATTATGATTATTCTATTTGGAGGAAATGTGTAAGAACCAAGTGAAGATATGTTCGGAGAAATTAACGTACCACCTTATCACCCCACAATTTTATCGTCGTAGAGGTTAAGGAATATAATAGCTACCCTAGCTAGCTGCAGCTTCCATGAAAATAACGTTTCGGTGTTGGTTAGTTGCAGCATTTATGGCTGCCATTCTATCAAATCTTCTACGTTTCCATGCACAAACAAACATTTATTTTACCCAAAAATCCACAACCGTTGCTTATAGACAGCTCTCATACAGAGTCAAACTTATAACTTTGTAGTTAACGAATCAGTTAATTGATCGACCAACTTGATTGAGGTGGGGTTAAATTAAACTTATAATCTTGTAATTCAAGTATTTAACCAGCTAACTGTCCGACCAACTTAATTGGGATACTGCATAGTACAAAAAGAAACCTAGCTAGCTAGAAACTTGGTTGTGTTTTCGTGTTTCCTAGTCAGCTCAAATATTCTATAGGATGTCGTTGCTTCATCAATTAACCTAGGCAGATTCATGTATACATCGTTGCGTTGGCTGTTTCTAGGTTCTTTGTTGCATTAATTTAATCCATGAAAGTCAATGTTGAAATATCCCATAATTATTGAAACTGGCTCGGGCAGTGTATATAGTAAAATGCATGCATATATAAAACTTGCATGATATAACATCAAATTATTATGTCATTTTTCATGATGTATTATCATATAATAACATCTTGAATTTCTTGCAGAATAATAATATGAATATTTTTATTCTTTTTTTATTAGAGGGGGGAGATTATATTTATAGTTTTTCCAGTATGACAATATGGGGTTATTTGCATGCATGTAGAGACCAATACAGAAACCTTTGACAATAATCGAATTTTTGCTTATTATTGTTAATTAACAATTAGGATTAAGGATATGTAAGGATATATTCCTGATTAATCTAATACAAAAACATGGTAACAACAACTAAACATGGAAATTTTTGTTAGTTGAAGTTTCAATCTGTGATTCCTTTGAGATTTTTTTTTTTTTATTATATAAGATTGCTTGTCATCCTCACCTACCCTCTCCTACTAAGGCACGTAGACATTAAGCCATGGGCAATATATATATATATATATATATATATATATATATATATATATATATATATATATATATATATATATATATATATATAATGACACAATGACAGACAACATTCTGTTCAGACATTAGCATAATATTCCTCTTCATTTTGTTAGTTCTCATGAGACATATTTTAGTAGTTAGTATAAGGTCAACTATCCTGTCCATGACATATACATATACATATACATTCCAAATGGAAGTCCAATCCAGATACCATTAGACAACATAGTCTTGGTTAAAATAAATACATAAAATACATAAAATAAATAATTAATTAATTACCCTATATTTTCTTAGTTAACATATTAACATATATATTAACAATACATATCCGATCGTCTTTAGATGGTCTTGATCATATGATTATTCTTTGTATTGTTTAAAAAAAAACGTATTTAATTTGTATTCACCGAATTGAGTCTTGTATGGACATTAGATTTGTGTTTCCTCTATTTCTCTCCTTCCCAAACCCCCTTCCTCACACTTTTACCCTTTTCAAAAACATAAAGAATCTTTGATGTAGTCTTTTTTATCTAAATATAGTTACACCCTTCATTTTGGTTGTCATCTTATTTATAAAGAAAATAAATACATAGACTTTTAGTATTCTGTACCTTTTCCATATCAGTGTAAAATCCTCTTACGAAAATAAAGCAATTTAAAAGATTACTCTCCCACCAAAATACAGCTGCATTACAAAATTGGTCGGAGGTTGCTTCTAACCTAAAACCCTAAATTTTTAATATTTATTGTGGTTGATATTTTTAAACACCTAGAAGATTATAATACCTAAAAAAATATAAAATCTTGGAATTGATTTGATATCAAATCTAACCAAACATGGGTTTTTGGGTACATGAAGCTAGTTGATGCTCATAGTAGCTAGGTAGGCGCACAAAGAAGAAAAGAGATATATAGATGATAGATATATATATCTCGTAATGATTAGGCAGGACATACGTGAGCAGCGATGGGAAATTTCTTTATTACCATTGGGATAATAGTCTTTAGGATAATGATTAGAAGAGAGCCTTCAAAATATACCCAAAGAATAAAGAAATTTATATTTTTTTTCAAAAAAAAAAAAAAAAACAAATATATTGAGTGCATTGACTTTTTGAAAAGGGGAAAAAGAGGTGGATATTAAGCATCAAAATGATCATCCTAGGGCCACTAAGAACACACGTGGACCATGTTGTTCAAGAGCACAAATTATGTCTTAAAAACCATTTTAATCTAAGCAGTGAATATGAATCTCTTCTAATATTAATATTCCTCTATTAGTGGTTGGTAATACGAATAAAGTGATTGAAAATCAGAGAATTTACTTCATATCTTAAGTTTTTGGATTACTTTCTAATGGTGAAACTCTAACATTTTTCAACTGTTAATTATTAAAATTTTGATGAGAAATCATATTTTTTTTACCTCAAACTTTATATTTTCGATCATTTTTCAGTAGTTGAAAATTATAGATTTTTCAACAGTGACTTATATAAATTCGAGATATGATTATATAATATATATAGTTTGCTAGCTTATGGTCGTCATCCTTGCGTGTAAAATGGTTTAAAAGGAGAAAGGGAATGTTTAATTTGCATGGTTTCGTCATGCTTTTGATAGTTTAAACTCAGCCCTTACGTACAATAGCTAATGTGTGTGTAGGCCCCTTTACACCCATCAAAACCCCACCTTAAGTGGTGCCCTTTCATTAAAATATCCCATCATCTCTCTCTCTTCCAAAAATCAACTCTCTTGCCAAATCCTCTTAATCGAGTCTCTCGCATAAATCTTTTTAGCTCGATTTATCACTTTTGTATAGTTTATACATATTATTACGCATAAGCTAGGGGACTGCTTAAAGCAACCTTTTCGATCAACTTTTTGAGAAAGACATAGTGTATGCATGTAATCTGTTATCAACTAACAACTAATTTACCAAACATTTTTCTACAATCAGCTAATGATATCAACTAGTCAAATCTACTAACACAATCAATTAAAAGTGATTTACCAAACACTTTATTATCTTTAAAAAGGAATAAAATCCCAAAAAGGGCAGTGAAATCAACATATATACCAAGAAGAAAGAGGGTCGTCACAAAAGGAATATATTAAATAAAAAGTCTGGTTACGTGTTGTGTGGATCAAGCTAAGCTAGCAGTCGGTATTGTCACCGATTAAAATAGGTTCCAAACTTAGCGGGGAAAGGCTAAAAGGTGAAATACAATAATGATTGTTACATAAGTGATAAGTATAACAAATAGAATTACTACATTTTTGTTACTAATTATATTATAAATTTTAATATAGTGATAAGTGATTAATCTTGACAAAACGATCACAGATAACCCACCCTCTGGCATACTTTAATTAGGAAATTTCACACTACCCCTCCCCATTCTATTCTTTTCTTCTCTTTCCCATTGATCCCTAAGCTAGTCCACAACCACCCTAGCTTGCAAACTCATTTTCATACCACTCACCACTTTTTGTCTTCTTATTCATCACATTATTATAGAATAATAATGAAAATTTTGAAAGTTTTATATCTTTTTTTTTCATTTTTCATAATATTGTTCACTATGCATTTGTATCCCCAAAAAATGATATTTAAAATTTTGGAAAAAATAAAAGAAATTTATTTGCATGGCGTTATGGGAACTACATATCGCTCTATTAGATTATTGCAAAAGGTATACATTTTTTAATAGAACAGCAAAATTTTACATTTAGCCCTCAATTATTACGGTATTACTATATTCAGTCCTATTCTTTTAATTTTGCTTAATTACATTATTGACTTTCATTTGATTGCCTTAATCAATCCTCTATTTAAAGTTTTGTCAATCAACTGTTTAATAAAAATGACTAACATAAAATTTCATCATTCAGCCTTTTGCCCCAACATGTAAATTCTAACTATGTAAACTCTTATATTTGTATGATGAAATTACATGTTAGCACTCTTTAATAATAATGAAACTTAATTAAACCGTGGACTAACTGTGACAACACAAATGAAAGTCAAAGTTGTAATAAGATAACATTAGAAGTATAAGACTATCGGATATAATAATGTCACAATATTCAATAACTTTAAAAAACAAAATAGTACATCTGATAGGGGTAGGTGATGGATACAATTGCCACACACTAAGAATCTAAGATAATATATAGATAATAAATAAAACTATGTGTAATAGTGACAAGTTTATCCACGAAATGTAAATATAATTTTTAAAAGATGTTAGATTAATAGATTAAAGATGGCACCTTATCATCATTCATGAAGGAATATTGACCTTTAGGGTTTTTTTTTTTTTTTTTTCTTAATTCTCTTAGAAAGATAGACGTGAATGAGACGTGCATGAAATGGGCAAATGTGACGATGTGCACATGTTGTTGTTGTTAGGTATTTGCTTTGAAAACTATTTTTTTTTAAGAAAAAAAGATAGAGCGAAAGTGCATGCCGATTCGTCGCCGTACTTTTTGGATCCGTCACCTTTTCTTCATGAATTTCATTTTATTTCTTTCACGCCTGCGGCCTTTAGAATTAGGGCTTTGGGGCATCAAACGAGGTGTCAATGACATCTTTAAAATTAGCGGTCCATATTTATTCTTTTTTGTTACATAGGTATAAGAAAATAAAATTATATTTTCATTACTAGATATAATTTTTGACGTAAATATTTGATTTGACAATGGGTATTAGAGTGGTAAGTGTTCAGACTTGGGAAGAAATTGTTGGGCGGTGATTAAAGGGTCGAGTCCAGAATTCTGCAATAGAAAGAAATAACGTTATGCCTTTGTTACTAGCTATACATTTCTAGCGTAGTGTGGTAAGTGTTTGATCTTGATACTTTCATATGTTATTAGTGGAAAATTTTAGCACTTTTGATCACGAGAAAGTGGCCGAACACTTAAGATTTGTAACAATAAATCGAGTTTCTAATCACTTTAGAAATCAATATATATATATATATATATATATATATATATATATATATATATATATATGTTGATTTACCAATCACTAATCAAAAGTGATTGAAAATACCAATCACCAACAAAAAGTTATCAAAATATAGATTGTGGAAGGTGTTTATAATTTATTTTTTTTCCCCTTTATATGTGATTGATAATTGGGAACTCCTGAAAAATTATATAATATATTTGGTACGAGGGTGGTTAAGGAAAGAATGTTTTGTAGGGGGGCAAAAAGAAAGAAAGAGAGAAAAATAGAAATGATAGCATCATAGTATGGGGTGGAGATATAATGATTAAAGTAGGGTGAGTGGGTTGGTTTTTTGTGGCTGAATTTCCTGCATGAATATTATGAATATTATTATTATTATGCATGATGGATCATGCATTTTGCGATAAAGGGGATGAAACCAAATCAATCGACACAAAAGTAAAGCAGACGTTACAAATATTTGTCGAAACCCAAAATGCTTCACTACGTCACCATGACCTCAATATCACCCTCCAACTCTCATCATACTTTAGCCCCTTTTATTTGATTATTGAGTATCGGTTAGGAGACAGAGTTAAGTATTCTACTATTGAAAGTGACACTGATTACTATGTAAGTCTAAAAAAATAAAATTATGCATTTGTTACGAATATAATTTTTGATGTAATAGTAAGCATTTGTTATAATATTTGGTAGTGTAGATATTGCTACGAAAGTAAAGTTGCATAGTAGTAAACATTAGATTATGATAGAATATATATATATATATATATATATATATATATATAAAAGTTCAAATCCCAAACTTAAAAGTCCATATATAACTAGCTTATTAGTCTCTACTTCTTATATAGTACTGTTCGCAATAAGACTAAATTTATACCTCATTAATTCTTTTTTTTTTTTTTTTGTCTTTGATAAAATTCAAACTAGCAAAGTAAATGTTATAAATTTTTATTTTGGGTTGGTTTTTGAAAAAATATATATAGTATATGTAGCTTTGACTTATTTGTCTTCTAACTTTAATGGGCTTAATTTATTTCTTATCAAATATTAATTATGTGCTGTGTGAATATTTCAGTTATAGTATAGGTAGCTATGTTATAATTAGTTATTATTGATTGAATGATTGTTATTGATGCTTTTAAGATATATAATAATTTGAGTTAATTCTAGTTTTGATATTTTGACTATTATTACATTCTTTGTATTTCTAGTCTTCATGTTTAAAATTAACTTGATTTGGTTCTCAATTATTAAAAATATGTCGCTTTTAATTTTTATTATATGATTACATGGTGACACATTTTAGTACTAAATATGACATATTTTAATATTTGTGGGTATATATATATATATATATATATATATATATATATATATATATATATATATATATATATATATATATATATATAATGAAAAAAAAATTAGCAAGGTCAAGTCAGCGAAGTTAACTCAGCTAACTCAACCGAAATGGACAAGTTAACTTTGCCGATCGAATTCGACCGAGTTAGGCGCTAGGCGGGCGCCTAGGCAACCGATCGCCTAAGCGAGCGTCTAGGGGGAAATCGCCACGGTTTAAGGGCGCCTAGACTGATTTTTACAATAGTGCTATTTAGATTGTATGTCAACATTGTCCAAATAGTACCTATACAATCAGACATATTATACATGATTATACTGAATACAAAAGACACTAATACAGATCGACGTCCTAAAAATTTCCTATAAATTATTATACTTGGATATGTATATTATATGTTGATGATTTTTTTTTTAATAATCCCAACATGCATGATTATGATTATGATGGAAATAATAAAAATGTTTGTGCATGGTGCATGCAGATAGAGATAAGATGTAGAGGGCAAGAGCTAGCGCCATCGTTGACACTGCAACACGTAAGAGATGAAATATGGATGAACAACAGCAACAACAATAATGAACATCCTCCTCCATTCACTTTGCTTCCACAACCCTCAACCTCTGCTACTACTACTAATCATCATGTCATGCTGCTTCTCTATGCCAGAAAGTCATCATCATCTTCAACTGCTTAATTATAATTTTTTTTCTTTTTTACTTTATTATTAACTCCCATTATTATTTTTTTTTATTTTTATTTCACTTTACTTCTTACTATTTATCTCATCATCATTCTTGATCTGATCTTACCCCCCTGCCTCCTTCTGTTGATGCTGCTGCATGTTGTATCATTGCTAGTAATTGATACCCACCCAGTTTTTTTTTTTTTTTTTTTTTTTCTCTCACTTATTTATTTTTATTTTTAATTTTTAATTTTTAATTTTCCCCATTTTTCTTCTCTTTTTTGGAGAAGGGAAAGAATACTTGATGAGCATATACCTCAAAATCGATATGTACAATGTTTTGGGGTTGACCAACCGATTAACATGATGAATTTGTATTTTTTTTTTCCTCTCTGATTTTTACTATAACATAGTTGGTTTGGCTATTGGATGGTGTTACATTGCCTTTTCACTTAATTTTTTTTTAATTATTATTATGTTGTATTTTTGTGCGAATGATGAGGGAAATGCGTAATCACTATTTGAGGGTGTGTATTGACCGGATAAACCACACTCTTGTATAATAGTCTGCAAATTACACATGAGAAATAAATCATATTAGAAAAATCTTGTGTGTCAAGCTCAACCAGGAGAGTGTTAGCTAGATTGCGTTGTATTTTTAAATTAAACTTTGCAGATAATGAATGAATATTTGTAATTCAAATTATGTATCCGGATCGAATGTATAAATAGTAAGGGATCATATGCAAGTTATATCGAGTACCATGGTCCACATTATAAGGACATGACTAAATGTTCATTTTTAACGTACTATAAATTCATTTTCAGATAGTAATACTAAAAATGAGTCTGTAATACACTAAAAATAAACATTTAGGGTGTGTTTGGTTCACACATGGGAATCAGAATCGGAATGGAATCAAGTACTTGGTAATGATGGTGAATTTTGGTGAAAGTATTTTGCATGTTTGGCAGGGCCGGATTTTAGGTTGTGCAAGCTGGGCTACCGCACAGGGCTCCCAATTTTAGAGGGGCCCCAAATTTTAAAGGCCAAATATTTAATATTTACCTAGCTAGTTTAAAAATAAAAATTAAAAGTTTTCAATTAAATGTAAAAGGTTCCATGAAGAGATGGTTGCAATGTGTATTTATTATATTTTAACTTGGAGGTCAAAGGTTCGAAACTCGCATATGTTAGTTTTAAAAATTATGATTTTGGAGGGCCTCAGTTATTTACCAGAACAGGGCCACAAAAACTTAAAATCCGGCATTGATGTTTGATATAGGGTGGAATTGGAATGATTACCTATATTTGATGTTTGATTATGTATGACCCTAGAATAGGAATAAAGGTTTTAAAAATACAAAATCAAAAAGTCAAAGCAATTAATCCAAAGTACCAATATGAACAAAAAATCAAAACAAAAATCGGAGGGATGTAGTGAGGAGGCAACAGATCAAGAGGTAGAATAGGAATAAAGGTTTTAAAAATACAAAACCAAAAATCAAAGCAATTAATCCAAAGCACCAATATGAAAAAAAATCAAAACAAAAATCGGAGGGATGTAGTGAGGAGGCAACAGATCGAGAGGTGACAGATGATGATGGATATAAGATTAAATGATACCCGTTTTTAATTAGGAAAAGAAGTTTTTAATTGATTGAAGTTGCCAATCAAACATTAACTGTGATTTTAATTCTCATTCCTAGTGTATAAACTCATGAACGAAACACACCCTTAAAGAATAATTCACCTTATAATATTAAGAGTTAATACCCAAAATAGTCCCTCGACTATGTCGTAATTACCAATTTGGTCCTCGACTATCATTCTTACCCAATTAAGTCCTCAACTATACAATTTTTACCCAATTTAGTCCTTTGTCAATTTGACTGTTTGTTGACTGTCAAAAGTGGAAATAAAGTTATAATTTTACATGTTTTCTCTTTCCTCCGCATTTAGCAGCGCTAAACCATGTAGCAATAAGCTCCGGTTGGGTTCTAAACCTGTCAGTATCGAAGTAGTGGTTGTGCATCGGATAGCCCATGAATTTGATTTTCAATGATTTTTTGACGATCGAAATCTGATCGGAGTGTATTGCTGCATGGTTTGGCGCTGCTAAATGGAGAGGAAGGAGAAATCTTGTAAAATTATAATTTTATCCCGACTTTTCACAGTCAACAAACAATCAAATTAATACAGATGACTAAATTGGGTAAGAATTGTATAGTTGAGGACTAAATTAGGTAAAAATTGTATAGTTGAGGACTTAATTGAGTAAAAGTTACATAGTTGAGGGCTTAATTGGGTAAGAATGGTAGTTGATGACCAAATTGATAATTATGGCATAGTCGAGGGACCATTTTAGGTATTAACTCTAATATTAACTATGGTTCACGATATAAAATTTGGGGATCATATCATATGTGAAACATTTTAAAATTTGACAAAACTAAAGAAATGAGTTCAATTAAATTTTGGGCCTCTATTTGGACTTCTTGTTAGTATAATTAATTAAATTTTGGGGTAAAAATATAGATCACACCAACAAAAGAATCTCCTCTATATTGGATTGTCATCGATTTTGCTCTAACAGCAAGATTCCAACATGAAGTTCAACACTCAAATATGAATAGTTATGATGTGCATCTGTATGCACCATGGTGCATACAGATGCAAAAACGACATCGTTTTATTAAAAACGCGCGTCTCTCCTTTAAAAAAAAAAAAAAAAATTCAGGTTCGATTCATAGTAACAACATTATTTTGTTCATTCATTATGGAATTTTAGTTCATGAATTATGGAATTATAGTTCATCGATTATGGAACTATAGTTCATCGATTCTGGAATTATAGTTCATCGATTCTGAAATTTTAGTTCATAGATTCTGGAATTTTAGTTCATTCATTCTGAAAATTTTAGTTCATAGATTAGATTATGGAATTATAGTTCATCAATTATGGAATTATAGTTCATTGATTATGGAATTATAGTTTCGAACCTTTTTTTTTTTTTAAGGGGAGACGCGCGCTTTATAAAAACGACATCGTTTTTGCATCCGTATGCACCATGCTTGGTGCATACGGATGCACAGCATAATTTGCCCTCAAATATGTCCATTTATGCCCCGAAATGAGTGGTCGAATAGATGGAGTATGATTTTCATATTAAAATATCATGAGTTCAATTATTGTCAACATACTCTCGATTGGGCCCACTACACAAACTATTACACAGGGTTAATTTACCAAATCTAAACCATCAAGTTTTTTGTTTTTTTTGCATAGTGCATTAATATCTGGATTTTGCAAATATGGCTATTGGCTAATTTAACTAAATTTTAATCAAGACTCATTGGATGACAATTCTGCTAAAGGTGTTGCAATAAAATATTTTGCCTCTTAGTACTACTCCATGAGCCCAAAAATTTTGAAGATTTTAGGCCCATATAGGATGTTTGGGATGGTATATCCGTTTGTGATCCAATCCCACATTCCTGGCAAATTATCAATTACAATTATGTGGACCATATTTTGTCTACTGTAAAATAATGTACATTTAGTACAAAAATAATGTACAATTGTATTCAGGGGATATACATTATTTTTATTTTGAGTGTATATTATATTGTATATCGTACATTTAGTACAAAAATAATGTACATTTAGTATATTAAAAATGTACTTTTTGTTATGGTCCACATAACATTGTGTGGACCATGGTCCACACAATAATTTGCCACAAATTATTATGTGGGCCATAGTTCATAGTTTCATACGGTGCTGTATTGACCATAACAAAAAGTACATTCTTAATATACTAACATGTTGTTTGGTTAGATGCAATTTCCTTGGAAGGAATTGCAATTCAATGAATTTGAGAAAGGAAAACTAGATCAAATGACACTACTACCCTTAATTTTTATTACTATTATTATTGCACAAGGGTATTTTAGTCTTTATATCACTTCTTTCCTTCTCAATTCCAATAATTCTATTTCTCCCTACCAAACAACGTAATTTGAATTTCTACTTTATTCCCACCTTATTCTTTTATCACCGAATTACAATTCCTTTCTCTCATAATTCTTTCCTTCCAACCAAACGCCCTGTAAAAGTACATTATTAATGTACTGAATATTATACTATACAAAATAATGTACATTTTTAATATACTAAAAAAATATTATTTGTGTACTCAATGTATATTACGGAATATTTGATAATATGACTTACACAGCTCCACACAATAATGATTGCGCATTCCTGGGCATCTCAAGCTTTAAAGTTTAAAACATCATTTACAGTTGGTGTCAAAATAAACTGAACTTTGATACTCATGTCCCTCTTCCTATATCCACTTGGCATTCCAAACACATCAGCACCATACACTCACTGGACCCAAAACATCATTAACATGAAAGGAAAGAAATCCCACCACAAACACCACCTTAAAACCTTGGAAGCACAAAATTATAACTGTACACAATGCCATTGGTGTAACATTCAACATCCACATAGTACAAATGACAAACTACAATAGGAGAAACCCTTCAACATCAGTATTGAAATGTTGTCAAACATAGTACAGTACAAAAGAAACAGCTTCCACATAATTGTATTACTGAAATACAATACCCTCTTTTCTTCTACGGCAAGCAGATAGCCTAAACGAAATAGTAACAAAACCGGTGGGATAGATGTAGATGCACACTGATGAGGATGAACCTCGAACCCCAACTCAGAAATGGACAATTAGATTCTGAGAATTCATCTCACCTTACAATATGCAGGGCTTTTATCTTTGATATTTAACAAGCATAAAGTAGTTCATTACGTTAAACTTCCAGTTGAAAGAAACAGTCCACAGAATTGCAGAACCAGAGTGCTTCAGCAACAATATATATATATATATATATATATCCACCAAACTTTTGGCGGCATCTCTGTTTAGGGAAGAAGACAAGCTAACACCGCGATAGAAACTGCAACTAGAATCCCCATTTCAAATAGACAACAAATGGCCAACTCTTGAGTTAATTTCACAAATTATTCTATACTATAAACAACAACTATTTACCTAATTTGCCTGGCACCCCCACCCCAACTTCCTCATATTCATGGCTGAAGGGGGCAACCCAAACCAAGTTGGTCAGACTGTTTGCTTGGCAACCACAAGGTTCCAAATTCGACTCCCAATGGGAGCGGCCTAGTGGCCTTCTTGGTTTGCACTGGTCAACTATGGGCAACTTAGGCTGATTTATCTCCTATACCGGCTAGGGTCACAAAGCAAGGTCTACCCAGTGCATACCTTTGGGTAGTGAGTGGTAAAGGAGATTCAAATCTCCATCTTCACCCAAAAAAAAAAAAAAAAAAAAAAAAAAAAAAAACACACAGAAAATCATTATCCTCGTGCATGAAATTCAAATTCTACTAGGTTGATTTGGGTTGGGAGTGAGGGGGAAGAGAGAGAGAGACCGAGATCCTTCGCTACTAAAATCAACCATTTTTAGCCCAAGAAACTATTACTGCTCTGAGCTTGGAAAATATCACCAACCTCACAATATCCTGCTTCAAACATAAATGCATACCATGTTACAACTTAGGAATTAGAAAGATGAATTCTAATTGGTGCCTGATCAACCTATCCAAATTTTACTAAGCAAACCATGTTACACATTTCAACATTTGTCCCAGGAAACACTTTCTATACATGTGAGACCAGAATTTCAGCAATGTTCTGTCACTTTCGAAACAACACACTACAGTCTACAGAATGTTGCATCTCTACATAAAGCCAGTATCACACAGTCAAAATTAATTGCGTGACCAAAACGTTACCAAGGGATGGACCAAAGACACTTTAGATATGCCTCAAAACTACCCTCAGAAATATCCAAAAATAATGGCACTTTGTGCGTCAGTCCAGGGCATGAGATACCGTTAAAACCAGCAAGTAATAACATCATTAAATGGCGTTTCAAAATTTACAGAGCACAATAAACTTGTCTGCAAGAGCAAAGATATTGCCATAATTAACTTCAACACCTAATAGCACAGTAATCTCTATTCAGATATATTTGTCAACTTCAAGAACAGAACCAAAACGTGAATATATACAAACATATCTATTTCTCAAATAGCCGCAGGAAAAGGATAGTGCTCTAGCAAGTATGAATTTATTCGGTTTTAGAGTAATGACTATGATAAGTTCATGTCTAAACTTCATTTGAAAGATTGGCATCACGAGAATGGTACATTACTAAATCACCTTTCCTTTTTTCTTGTCACTTTCATGTGTATCAAGGATTACATATTCACAATAGCTAAACATATCCAAAACATGAGAAAACGAGGAAAGAAATCTAACTCCAAAACTAGGTAGCATTTATACCATTATTCAGGTTAATAATATAGGAAAAAAGAAGGCAGAAAACAGATGAACAAAAAAAAAAAAGAGAAAACCCATTAGAGTTAACTGCATATTTATATATATATCTAGTTCTGGGACTCACGAAAATCCTTTCCGGAGCTTCAGGATGGCAGTGTACATTTTCCGGCGGGAGCCGACGGCGTTAATCCCCATGTCCTTGAGATCTTCCAACGTTAACATCGGCAAAACCTCGTCATCTACCTCGTGTATCTCGAAAACGGGGGAGTACCGGCCGAGGCCGAGGCCGATTAACCAGTCCCTCACGCCGGAACTCCGGTCCTGGGAATTCATTTCGGTGTGAATTCCTCCGTTGTTGAGATTATCGTTATCTCGGCTTTCCGAAAGGTGTGCCCTATTGGCCCGGCGGTCCCAATACTGGAGGCCTAGGTTTTCCATGGAATTAACCGGGCTCTGCTCTTTCAATGGGCTCTCGGAGCCCTCGGGCTCGAAATCGCGGAACTCTTCGTTGTCTTTCTCCTCGCGGAAGAAGCTCTCGCCTTCAATTCCGCCGTTCACGGCGTCGAATTTGGAGGACGACGCGGTCCAATTGGTGCGCGCCCGCTTGGTGGGCCGCTGCTGCTTCATCTTGGGCTTCCGATTCCCCAAATCGAACCCGAAATTGTTCTCCTCGTTCACGTTGGCCTCGTCGTAATTATCCCCGGCCGAGGGGGCGCCGTTTACGAGGTTGGTTAAGGGTCGGATCTTGGAGGTCTTAGCTGCCAGAGACGGGTCCTTGTGGAAGCGCCACGTCTTCGGCCCCCGCCGCGGCTGCGCGTCGTAAGGGGACTCCCCGATCTCGCCCAATCTCACGCTGGGCCGCCGCTGCCGCTTCGGAGCCAGCCCTTGCCCCAAACTGTTGGCCGCCGCGCCGCTGTTCGTGGCGGCGGCGGCTGCTTCGGCTGGAGGGGGAGCCGGCGCTGTGGACGCGGCGGCGGCCACGGCGGAGGGCGGTGGAGCGGCGGCCACGGGGACGTCCGACGGCTGTAGCTCAGCCATGGAAGGAGTGAGGAAGTGGAGGAGAGAGTGAGATAGAGCGTGAGAGATAAGCGAGAGAGGGGAGAGAATCTAGTGGAAGCAGTTGTAGGGAGACAAACGTTGTTTTTGCGGCGGTGTTGAATGTTGATTAGATTAATTTTGAAATCCTATTTAATATATATAATCTATAAAAGTTAATAAATTTTTGAATACGAGTAAACTTTAAAAATTTTATAAAAGTTTGAATCGAATTACTAAAATACTTTTATAAAATCTTAATCGAATATTAATAGATTTTTAAAAAGTTTTTAAAAATGTAAATTTAATATTACTAAATTTTTAAAGTGATTACAAAAAATTTAAAAAATCTTCATTGAATACACTCTTAAAATTTAATTGTTATTTTTTTTTTGAGGTTAATATTGTCTTATGACGGAAGGAGAGCTAGCTGCCATTCTTAAAGCTATGCAACGGGCGTGGAAAAAGGGCGTAAGGAAAGTTACTTTTCTAGTGATTCCATGAATGCCATTCATTGGCTCAAAGAAGGTCTTGGACCACTGGGACTGTGTGGCGATCTCATTAGGTTGTGTAAAGGCTGGCTTTCGAAAGACGGGGAGATAAGATTTAAGCACTACACCCTGAGAGTTTAACCAAGTGGTGGATTGGCTTGCTAAAATTGCCCCGAGCCCTGCCCCGAGCAAATGATGCGATTGGATCGAGTTTCACACACCTCCGTCGGAGTTAGAGCCATTCTGAGAGAGGATTGTGCTAAGTCTTTTGCTTCCAAGAGCAACAAATGACCTTAGGGTCGACCCCTTCCCCCTATTCCCAAAAAAAAAATTTAAAAAAATTGTATAATGAATTTCTAGAAGGTTGCAATTTTTGGGCCAATTTCCTTCCGTCGTTTCATCTACCCTAATCCCCTTTTAACACTTCAATTAATTATCACCCACCCCACCATCCGTAATCCTATATACCGTTCTCCCAAACACAATCGGATATTCTATTCCCCCAGTCGCAATCCGCTGCTCCATCACCTTTTCCGTAACCTGACAGTCCAGCTCCTCATGGACATCCATCAAATTGAGCGCCAGTGTGCCGATCTTTCCCTGGCTGTGGAAGAGACCGGTGGTTTGGAGGCCCCTGATGTACAGGCCATTCCGGATGCCACTATCCACCATAATCTGGTGGGCAGATTTCTCTCCGACCGACAGGTTCGATTTGAACATATGCAGCAGGTCTTCGCCTCAATCTGGAGGCCGGTGATGGGGATGTACGCTTTGGCGTTGACTGATGATCTATACTTGTTTCAATTCCCTCACGCTAAGGATCTGCAAAGGGTCATTGATGATGGTCCTTGGTCCTTCGAAAACCAACTTTTGGTGTGTGACAGGGTACCAGACGGGATCAGACCAGAGGAGGTCCCGCTTGATTCAGTATCCTTTTGGGTTCAAATCCACGGCCTTCCGGCGATGTATGCCTCTGCTGATTTCATTGCGAAGATCGGTAATTATGTGGGGTCCTTTGTCATGGCAGATCCGTTCAACTTTGGCGGGACATGGAAGAGTTACTACCGCATCCGCGTGCGAATGAATGTTCTGGATCCTCTCAAGCGACGCATGAAGCTCATGCTACGTGACGGTACTAGCCAGTGGATATCTTTCAAATACGAACGGCTGAATACGTTCTGCTATTGTTGCGGGGTTCTGGGGCATACCGACAAATTCTGCAAAACAGTATATGAAGAGGGCATTCTGCCCGAGGCATTCCCATTCGGATCATGGTTGCGTGCGGGGCCTCGAAGGCAGGTAAAGCCAGTTGGGGCGAAATGGCTTCTTTCGCAGTCATCATCGTCTATAGCGCACTCGGCTGTTCCTCCGGCCGGACCTCCACCGCCTGCGTTGGTAGTTCTGGAGGAGTCTAACGGGCTACAAGGGGACTTGAAACGCCACAGAGAGGAAACGGGCATGGAATCTGTAGTTGTGACATCGGACGTAGTAATGGCAGAGAATATGCGTACCCAGAGTATGGCGAGCTTGGTAGACCAGGCTCGCCTGGCCAAATGAGTTGCCTAAGCTGGAACTGCCGGGGATTGGGTGGCACCCGGTCAGTTCGCGAACTCTTGGGCCTTGTGTCCAAGGAGCGACCCCAATTCGTTTTCTTGATGGAAACGAAAGCGGAAGAATCGAAGATGGAACAGGTACGTGTTCGGTTGGGTTTTGAAGGAATGTTCTGTGTGGAACGGGTAGGCCTCGGGGGAGGTCTTGCGTTTTATTGGCGTGATACACAGGCGGCTTCTCTGCTGAGTTACTCTCTAAATCACATTGATTTGGAGATTAACCTTCCGGGACGGCCTGCGTGGAGGTTGACTGGTTTTTATGGGGAGTCTGAAAGATCGAGGCGGCATATAAACTGGGATCGGTTACGACAGCTCAAAGACGAATCGGCTTTGCCTTGGATGGTAGTGGGGGACTTCAACGACATCACATGTCTTTCGGAAAAGCGCGGCAGCCATTCACATCCAACTTCTCTAATCGAGGGGTTTAATGATGCTTTGGGCGACTGTGAGCTCACGGACCTGGGTATGATTGGTAGTCGCTTTACCTGGGAGAAAAGTAGAGGAACGGACTCTTGGGTTGAAGAACGCCTGGATAGAGCAGTGGCAACAACTAGTTGGATGGACTTGCACGATGAGGCGGAGGTTCGAAGCATCTATATGCAGTCTTCGGATCACTGTGCTCTTATCGTCAACTTGGAAACTAGACAATTCCGTGCTGCCTTCCAATCCTTTAAATTCGAAGCAGCATGGCTATTGGAGGCAGGCTGCGCGAAGGTGGTTGATGAGGCCTGGAGACTTTCTGCTGGTCGCGATTTCCCGGAGCGCATTGCTCTATGCGGTGAGCGACTCAAACAATGGGGTGGTGATCATCATAGCAGGTTTGGGGGTCGTATTAAAGCACTACGCCGTATTCTATCCAGATTCAAGGAGGACCATACGCCTCATGGTGTACAACAATTCGGGACTGCCGAAGCTGAATTGGATGTGCTGTTACAAGCCGAAGAGGTTTTTTGGCGACAACGTTCAAAGCAACTGTGGCTTAAGCACGGGGATGCAAACACCAAATTCTTCCATAAATCTGCTACGGCTCGGCGCAAACGAAATATGCTCCTACGTGTTAAGGATCAAAACGGTGCCTGGAGGGAGGGCCCGGCAATGAACGAAGAAATTCTCAGGTACTATGAATCCATCTTTTGCTCCGGTTTTTGTGGCGATGATCTGTTTTCTCGGGTCTGTTCCCGAGTCACAGACGAGATGAACGCCTCTCTTGTAGCTCCTTTCACCGTCATTGAGGTGAAAGAAGCTCTGTTTGCTATGGCCCCGGAGAAAGCACCAGGACCAGACGGCATGTCCCCGGGCTTTTTCCAGCATTTTTGGCCGATGTTGGGACATGATTTGGCTGTCTTTATTTTTAAGTGTGTGGAAAACAAGAGTTTCCCAGAGGGATTGAACGATGCAAACATCGTTCTAATCCCAAAAAAACCGGTGCCTGAGAGAGTCGCTGATCTGCGCCCCATTGCACTTTGTAACGTGGCTTACAAAGTGCTGGCCAAAATGATTGCGAACAGGTTGAAGGTTTGTCTCGAGAAGGTTGTGTCCCAATCTCAGAGTGCCTTCGTACCTGACCGGTTACTGACAGATAACATTATTGTGGCCAGCGAAATTGGGCACTTTCTAAGACGTAAAACTAGGGGCCTGGTAGGTTGGGCGACGCTTAAGCTTGACATGGCCAAGGCGTATGATAGGATGGAATGGGCGTTCCTAAAGGGTATGTTGTGTGCGTTGGGCTTCGACAGGGGTTGGGTGGATTTGGTCATGACTTGCGTCACGACCGTTCGGTACTCTGTCTTAGTCAATGGGTCGCCAGTGGGGCAGGTGTGCCCTTCTCGGGGGATTCGACAGGGGGACCCGCTGTCCCCGTATCTTTTTATCATCTGTGCTGAAGGTTTTTCTGTCCTGTTACAACAAGCAGAAGCCAGAGGGGATATTCATGGAGTGAGGGTGGCCCGGGGGGCTCCGTCCATCTCTCACTTGTTTTTCGCTGACGATAGTTTACTCTTTTTCAGGGCTACCCAACAGGAAGCATTGCATATAAAGCAATGCTTGGACAATTACAGTATGGCGTCAGGGCAATTGATTAACTTTGATAAATCAAGTGCAGTCTACAGCCATAACACATCGGTCCAGGTGAGGGCTATGGTCTCGGGTATCATCGGGGTCCGTGAGTCGATGGACCTGGGACGGTACTTGGGTCTTCCATCAACGCTTGGGCGCAACAAAACCGCTGTTTTCCGTTATATTGAGGAGAACATTCGCGGTCGCATTGGGGCCTGGCAGCATCGATTCTTATCTCGTGCGGGTAAGGAAGTGTTGCTCAAAAGTATAGCCCAATCCCTCCCAATTTTCACCATGTCCGTCTTTCTGTTGCCATGTCGTGTCTGTGACACCCTTGAGAAGATGTTTAATCGCTTCTGGTGGGGTGGCGGCGGCTCCGGGAGCCGTGGAATCCATTGGTTTAGTTGGGACAAACTGTGCAGGCCTAAGTCAAAAGGTGGACTAGGCTTTAAACAACTGCACGAGTTTAACTTGGCTTTATTAGCCAAGCAAGGATGGAGATTATTGATCAATCCTAATTCACTTGTATGCCGTCTTCTTAAAGCCCGTTATTTTCCTCATACAGATTTTATGGGGGCTCAGATAGGTACCAATCCGAGCTTTGTCTGGCGAAGCATCCTAGCCGGAAAGCGGGTTCTCCAGCTGGGGGTTGCCCGTCGTATTGGTGATGGCTCAAGCACCTCGATTTGGGGTTGGAACTGGCTTTCGGACACCACGCATCAGCCTCTTCAAACCCCCTACATTCCACAGCTACGCGATGCCAGGGTCCGGGGCCTTCTCACGGATCGCGGGGTTTGGGACGAGGACGTGATCCGAGATATCTTCTTACCTGCCGATGTAGCCCGCATACTGGCCACACCGGTGAATGTTCAGCTGCTGGACTGTTGGAGGTGGATTGGGGATATACGGGGGTGTTATACGGTTAAACATGGCTACCGTTTGTTGACTGAACATGCGGAACAACCTGCGATGCCTGGAGGTTTTCTGGGTTGGAAATCTCTTTGGTCGCTAAGTGTACCACCTAAGGTAAAAAATTTGTTATGGAGATGTGCTCGGGATATACTGCCGGTCCGGGACAATCTTAGGAAGAAGCGAGTGTGGATTGGTGGTGGTTGTCCTCTTTGTGGGATGGTGACGGAAACTATAGAGCATCTTTTTTGCTCCTGTAGGTTTGCGTTAAGTGTTTGGGGTACAGGAGATGTACTGTTTGGGAGGCATCTACCGGAGTTCATGGACTCTATGTTCCGCATCCACACAGCAGATATGGGAGTAAGAATGGCAGCCATCTTCTGGGTGGTGTGGCAGTCTCGCAACGCCGCAGTGTGGGAAAATAAATCGCCGAATGTCATGGCAGCGCGCGAGCAGGTACGTTATCTACAGAGGCTGTGGAAGGAGACTTATACGGCTCCGGAGCGGTCAGCTGGAGGCTCGACAACCACTGTGAGATGGGCGCCCCCTCCGTTTGCGTCCGTCATGTGTAATATCGACGCAGCTTTGTTTGGGGATACAGCGGGGTATGGAGCCGTCGTCCGGGAGCACGGTGGGAGATTCCTTTCGGCAAAAAGCGGGCGCTTGGGAGGTGTTGGAGATCCTTTTGTGGCGGAGGCGCTGGCAGCTAAGGAGGCTCTTTCGTGGCTTAAAGGCCAAGGTTTTGATAATATTGTTCTTGAATCAGACTGTTTGAATTTTTGTAATGCTTTCAATTCTTGCAATGTTGATTTTTCTTATGTAGGAGCTATTGTTAAGCAATGTCGTGCTATTGCTAAGACCATGGGGAACGTCTGTGTTTCTCATGTTAGGAGATCAGCGAATCGTGTAGCTCATGTACTAGCTAGGGCAACCGGTTCTGTGGCTGGCTCAGGTGTGTGGGTTACTAACCCACCTGATTGTATCGTTGGTTTATTGAACGTTGAATGAAGTTCTGTTGTGTTTGTTTCAAAAAAAAAAAAAGAAAACCCAAACAGCCAAAATCGTGTCGTTTCACTCATAAAAAAACATATTCAACCAAGGAATGAGTGACCAAAAACCTTGTGGTCAAGCGGCATAACTGTTGCTCTCCTAAATGGAAGGTCACAAGTTTGAACCTAGTGAGGACAGTGACTCTATATATATAATTTTCAAATTTGATCATGTAATTATATAGGTCTTGTTAATTGCAGTCCACAACTTTTAAAAGTGTTAATTTAGTACGTTGACTATACAATATTTATCAATTTTGGTCACTCCTGCCAAATAGTCGGCCAAATTCTGTTGAAAAAACTTAATTCATCAATTAGTGTTTAATCTGAGGGGCAAATTTGTCTTTCGGATTGTGGCCCGAATTAAGCAAAGTCAGTTTTTAACCTGATTTTTCCGGCGAAATGTGGCCGGGGTGACCAAAATTGATAAAAATTACATAGTCAAGGTACTAAATTAACACTTTTGAAAGTCGTAGACTGCAATTAACAGAACCCCTATAGTCACATGACCAAAATTGAAATTTACTCTATAATTTAACAATATTCTTTAAAAATTATGGCTTGTAATTATTTTAAAACACATTTGAAGACATTTGAAGATGCCTTTATTGGACAACAATGTCTTTGATAGATTATCATTAAAATTAAATAAATTATATTTAGAAAATGGAGAATTATCCATGTAGAATAACCATAACGCCTCACAACGAACAACCACGGTCTATTAAAATTTAGATGGTCATGGTTGTCCAACTAAAAAACAGGTATTTTTATTTTTTCACGTGCATTTAAAAATAAAATTGGTCAAATTAAAAGAATAAAATGTATGAAACACATGGTGGACAAGAGATATTTCACGCGGATAATTTGCTTCGGGAACGAAAATTGTAATAATTTTGTTGTTGTTGTTGTTAAGTTATAGTGCATTTTTCAACTTTGAATGATAATAAATATTAAAATGATTATTATCGATACATAATTGAGAGATTAATGGGTTGTTTGGTAACCACTTGTATTCTCTGAAACATTGTTCTCGAGAATGACCTAGCAAGAGGAATAAAGATTATTGCGGGCCCCATGGTATTATGATATTATTGAGTTCTCAGGAATAGCCTAAAGTTTCTATTTCTTATTTTACCTCCAATTAAATTTATTTCATATTTCACCACCGCCATCGCCACCACCATCGCCACTGCCGTCGCCACCATTGCCACAACCACCGCCACCACCACCCCACCACCGACGCCGCCGCTGCCACCACCACCATCGCCGCCACTGTCATCACCACCACCATCGCACCATCGCATATTTTTATAAGGGTATTTATGTCTTTTAAAACATATTTCATTTATATTCCTTAAATGAATTAATTTCACTTTTGGTCCCACGGCTTTTGAGTTGTTATCATTTTTGGTGCACAACTTTAAATTTTTTTAATTTTGTTGCCTAATTTTGTTATTTTTATCAGTTTTGGTCCTTCCAGCCAAATTGACGATAAAATATTTTCGAATTTTATATTTTAGGGGCAAAATCGTCATCCCATGAAAAGATCTTCAATATTTAAACAAAAGAAAATTCATATTAAGAGGAAAAAAAAGAGTTTGCCAATGGTTGAAACTATAAATCCCATAGATCTGTCTGATTTCTGCTCGTCTTTCCCATTATTCTCATCATCAAACACCTATAGATATAATTTTACAGTGATTTTGTTTAGATATTGAAGATGTTTCCTTGAGATGACGATTTTACCCCTAACAATATAAAATACAGCAACATTTCGCTGTCAATTTGGCCAAAAGGACCAAAACTGATAAAAATAACAAAGTTAGGCACCAAAATTAAAAATTTTTAAAGTTGTGCACTAAGAGTGATAGAACATCAAAAGTCGTGGGACCAAAAGTGAAATTAATTCTTCCTTAAATCAACCAAACACTGTAATATAATTCATAAAGTGTATTCCTTCCGCGAACCAAACAATAGAATACAATTCATATTTTATTCATTGCCTATTCCATTCCTTATGGAATAGCATTCCTATTACCTCAAAATTCATTACGTGAACGAAACATGTTGTACAAGTATACGTTTAATTGTGTTTGATTTATGTTTTCAACTCATATACGTGGTAATTTATATTGTGCACCAGGGTGCACATTGCATCGTGCACCCTGGTGCAAAATGACGATGGTTTGTACTTTTTGTTTTGGAAAATTTCGCTTTTCATGTCTGTTGTTAACTTCTTATAAAAAGAAATTATGTTTTGAAAATATACATAATTGCATAACAGAATGTACATAATTGTATAACAGAATACACATACTCTTTTTAAAAAGATAATAATCATTATCTAACATAATACATAATACACATAAACTCTTAACATAATACACATAAATTTTTAACTCTTAAAAAAATTATTGTTTCGAATGTACATAATTGTATAAAAGATGTACATAATTCTATAACAGAATGTACATAATTGTATAACGTAATACAATACATTCTGTCGCGTAAACTCCCCACACAACTTAACAAAACGACGTCGTTTTGAGAGGCGCGAGGCACACATTGCTATGTGCGTCGTGGTGCACGGTATAACGATTGTTATAAGTGGGCCTCAGTGTATTAAAAAGAAGATGGGCCTTTAGCGGGTTACAGCCCATCTTCTCAGGCCCACTTACTGCAATCGTGCAGGCATCTCTACCAGTAAAACGTCATCTCTTTCTCCATTCCTTTTCCGGCGAGCTCTGAGTAAAAACCCTATGGTTCAATCCTTCTCTAACGGCTTAAACCCTTAACCTCAAATCAAATAAATAAAAAGAAAGAAGAACAAAAACAATCTCCCCTCTCATGGCAATTCCGGCAGTTCAAGGCCTATCCTGCAGAACCCAATTCATTTTTCGCCGTCCCATCCCTTACTGCTTCCGCAAGGTCTTTTTATTTGAGTTTCTCTTTAGCAAAAAATCCTAAATTTATGCTTCTTTTTGTTTATTTGTATGACCTACATTTGAATTTCAGGTTCGGAATCGCAGCTCAGCTGCGGCGGTTGAATCGATAGTTGAACCACTAAATGATTCCAAAGAAGAAAAGAAACGGCTGAAAACTCATTCTAATGCAAAAGGTGATTTGTTTGGAAGATCATGCCGGTGAATTTTCCTTGAATGTTGTTAATTGTTAGTGAACTAGGCATGAGCTGTGATTGATGTGGCAGGTAGTGGGTATAAGAATGCTTCTGAATGGAAGAAATTGAGTTCCGAAGAGCTCGGAATTCGGACCTCAATGATCTCTAAATCTACTAGATTGGTCCTGAATTGCCTGAAGCAAAAAGGTATTCCTGGAAAAAGAAATCTTTTTGGATAATTTTTTGGATTTAGGGCTAGCAATTGCAAAACTAGATTTCATAATTTAATCAGTGTTTCCTAAAGATGTTTAGTTTTGTGAATGCTTCTGGAGCTTGGTCCTGGGAGAGTGTCAGTTATTCATTCATCTACTTGGTATACAAATCATTTCAAACTATGTGTGAACAATTTTCTGGTGTTACAGGGTATGATGTCTACCTTGTGGGAGGTTGTGTTCGAGATCTTATTTTAAAGAAAATTCCTAAAGATTTTGACGTCATAACATCGGCTGAGCTTAAAGAGGTTTGTTGTTCCTCTTCATTTAGTGTGATACTATTCACCTGTAAGTGCTGGTAGCTTCACTGGATGCCCTACCCTGGAATATAGAGGGGTAGAGATTGAGACTTACGTTTCACCTGCTTGCTTTCTGGATCGATAGTTTTTGTAGTTTGTACCAATCCTAATACTTTCAATCTTTTTAGGTGCTTAAAACATTCCCACGGTGTGAAATAGTTGGAAGGCGGTTCCCCATATGCCATGTGCATGTAGATGATGTCATCGTAGAGGTAGTTTCTTTGACACATAAAGTTTTCAATATCCATAGCTTATTGTTTTGTAAAGTAAATGTTGTTATTCAGAAGATGATTAAATAGGTTTCTTCTTTGTGTCCTTTCTTTTTTGTTTGGAGCAGGTGTCAAGCTTTACTACCATGGGAAGGAAGTTCGGAATGAATTCATACCACGCTGTTCGAAGGCCTCCAAAATGCAATGACGCTGATTTTATGCGCTGGAAAAATTGCTTAGGCAGAGACTTTACCATAAATGGGTACATAGAGGCATAAGTTTAAATTCTTTACATCATCATTCTAGGCACTGTGAAACTTATTATGGAATACTTTTTTGCAGATTGATGTTTGATCCATTTGCAAGAATAATATATGATTACATGGGTGGAATGGAAGACATTAGAAGGGCTAAAGTCTGCATGTATCTTTTACAGTTTTTGTTCATGTCATAAGAAACTCTTTCTCAGTTATCATTGTGCTCAATCTATTAGATCCATTTGTGTAGGTACGAAGTGTGATTCCTGCAAGTACTTCATTCATGGAGGATTGTGGTGAGCATGAGTAATTGTTTTTCTTAGCTTATCTTACACCAATGCAATGCTGCAATTCAAATTCACATTCACATCTTACAGCACGCATCTTACGTGGGGTGAGGATAGCAAGCCGTTTGGGATTTCGTTTTTCTCGAGAAACAGCACATTTTGTAAGAGAATTTGCATCGTCTGTGTTAAGACTTGACAGGGTATTATGTTTTGTTCATTGTATATATTTACATTTATTGATTTATATATTTCTGTCTTTTCCTTTGTTATACTGATGAAATTGTTTTCAACTTTTTCATCCTTCGGTCAACTATTTTGCAGGGAAGGATACTGATGGAAATGAATTATATGCTGGCATATGGGTCTGCAGAAGCTTCACTAAGATTATTGTGGAAGTTTGGAATTCTAGAAATTCTTCTTCCGATACAAGTATGGAGGTCCCTTCCCTCCACCCCCACCCCCCGGACCCCGGATTGTTGCCTATAATCTGTATGTCATACATAGTTCTGATATGATTGCATCTTGCAGGCTTCTTACTTGGTTTCCCAAGGTTTCAAAAGGCGTGATACAAGATCTAACATGCTTCTGGTAACTGCAAATACATGTTGTTTTGACTATTCAATCTTATGTAGTTTTCATATGCATATATCTAATTAGTGTTCTTGATCAATAATGTGGCAAGCCTAGCTATGAGCATTAGCCTCTCAGAGGAAACTTTTTATTGATTTCTGAGATTTTTTAAAATAGAATATACTCCATATTAGACGCTATTAGCTAAGCTTCTTTGTTGTATTGGTTGTCATGATTTTTAATCTAATTTTCTTTGCTATGGGGCTTCAGTCATTGTTTTCCAGCCTGGATAACCTTCTGGCACCTGATCGGCCATGCCACACCAGTTTGTGGTAAGAAACAATTTATCTCTTCGCAAATAGTCGACTTTTCCATATTATGTTACTATGTTTAGCTGCAGATTCACAAGACTTTAAGCCTTTTAAGCTGAGCACGCGATGATATTTACAGGATTGCGATCTTAGCATTCCACAAAGCTTTGGCGGATAGGCCTCGGGATCCGTTGGTGGTTGCTGCATTTTGCATTGTTGTCCACACCAGTGGGTCATCTTCAGATGCACTAGGCATAGTGAGGAAGATCTCACATCCACATGATCCAAGGTTTTCTGAGCTGTCCATAGATCACGATCTGAAGTCAGATGAAGTACTTCTGGATGAGGTCATGAATCTCGCAGCTGATGTAAAATCTGCATTAAAGAAGATGACAGATGAATATTTTGTTTCCCAGGCACTAATTGAGTATCCCGAAGCACCACATTCTGATATGGTAAGCTAAGTTCTAACGCGTATTCAACTTATTCATTTGTTTTATATGTGTCGTGTATTTAAATCTTAAAGAAAATTAGTTCGTCTGGTGGGCTTTTGGTCAAGTGAGCATTTGGTTATCACAGCAAGCCCAACTTCAGGAGTTATCAAAATTCAGTCATTGACACGAATTTCAATCTTCTAATCATTGTGTGTTCATTGTTTTTAAACGTGCAGGTGTTCATTTCACAAGCGTTATCACAGAAGGTGTGTGCAATATTTGAGTGCGTGAGAAGAGGAAAGCAAATGGGATATGCCCAAAAACATGGCAGCAAGATTGACTATGAGGCCCTAACACTAGGCAGATTACATGAAGTTAGACGCGTTTTTGCTATGGTGGTTTTTGACACCGTATATCCTCTACAAACCAAACGTGACAATTCTGTAGACAAAGTTTCAAGATAGATCATCATCCACACATCATGTTCAAGTAATCGTGTCCTTTATTCCACGTCTGGTATTTTATGTTGACCTCTGAGCCCCTTTATCTCAATGGTGCTTATTTAGCAGAATTGGCCCTTCAAGCACAACATCAAAAATCGGAAGAGCAAACAACCTCTGTGCAATGACAGGCTGCATACAATCAAGCAGGGCTGAGGTTATGTATCCCACAACTGTGAATCTTGATGTACTAAGTATAGTGATTCTACTAAGGAAACATGTCTCGGGACCAAACTGTACAGGTGCGAGATGCATTTATTTCGATAATTTCTTCAATTAGTAAATGCACTTGAAAACCTCATTGAAAAAGAAACAAAGTAATGCAAAAAAGAACCATGTGGATAACATGGTTTGATCCTTCCTGGATGATGCTTCTGTTCAGCCACCTCATATTGTTCTGCACCTCAACTTGAGCTTTGATCAATGTCATTTGCTGTGGACAGGACAGATAATACATTTAAAGAATGACTGGAAAGCCATAAAAGACAACCATATATGCATTTTTACAAACAAAAATGAAATAATATTAGAGCAGATTAATATTATTAGCTGGAATGCTACAAAATTTTTTGAGGCTTTTATGGCTGTGGTTTCTCCTTTCAACTTTGTGATAATGTTTTATAATGCCACCAGGCACCAGCAATTAATATATTAGAGTAACCATATTTGTGGTTTGGAGAATTTTTTCATAACAAAAAAAAATGGATGGATTTTTCAACAAATGGTGTGCAGTTTTTTTTTTTTTTTTTTAATTTTATTTTTTAATGGTTTTTATTCCGGCAAATCAAAAATTTTTGTGGGGTCCACTTAATGTGAATAAAAGTCATGGCTTGATGTTGCGCGTTTGGCGCAGTGGCTGCGCCTAGCTGACACGTGCAGTGTTGGCAAGTGAATGTAATTTTTTTTATTTTTTTTTTAATTATCACTACTTTATATTATTATTGTAGTTGTTATTGTTCCCTTCATTATAATGCAACAACTTTCTCAAAAATGTAGTAGGGATCCACTAAGTGATAAACTGATAGCAATTTTGCAGTGTAATAATATAGTTAGATTGGAGTCATGTTATATCTCATTGCTTATAATATAGTGATAGTCATTGTTTTATTACACAATAAGGAAAACTCAAAACCACATAGCGAAAAGAGGAAAATGATAGGAAGAAAGAATGAAGAATCGGCAAAGTGGAAGAAGAAGAAATTTAAAGAAAGAAGATATAGGTGGAGTGGGAAGAAGAAGAAGAATAAAATGCCCAAAGAAAGAAGAGAGCAGCGTAGTGAAAAATAAGAAGAAATCCAAAAAAAAAAAAAAAAAAAGAGGTTTTCAATTTGCTACAAAAAATCTCAGTACAAAACTAGATTATCTTCTCTTTGATTTTCTTTGTTCTTTATCATGGTAATTGTCTGATTTTCTTTGTTCTAGATGACAAGTGTACAAAGAAAAAAAAATGTATGAATAAAATTGTGATTTATTTTTATGCCACTTTAGTTATTGCTTTGTAAGCCACAATAGTCGGATAGTAAGCCAATTGGTTCATCCCTTAGCTAAGGTAGTTGGTTCTCAGCCTAGTCCTGGGTCCTCTTGTGTCTTTATTCTTCATTTTACTTCATTAATATATTCATTTTGGTTTGATTTCAAAAAAAATAAGAGCATACCTATTGGTTATGTTTTTGGCATGGGATTTGTGCACGCCACCTTGGAAAAGAGGATTAAAAAAAAAAACAAGGAAAAAAATGTCAGCATTACTAACGCACCCATAGGTCGCTTGGCGCGTGAGTTAAAGCCAAATCTTATTTTTTAACATAAAAAAGCGTGAAAAAAACTCATATTAGCTAAGAGTTTTTTTTCCCTCCCGCTCTCTTTTATGTCATGTCACACTCGCTCACTCTTTCCTCTACACAAGCTAACAACTCAAGAAAAAATCACTTCCGATGATACTCTAAAGAATTGAAAACATTTGGACTAGAATTTGGAATTATTTTTTTTTTCTTTTTGGGTGGTAGACTATTAAACTAAATAAGTATCTATACATAGTTGGACAAACAGAACTACATAGTTGGACAAACAGAACTGATATGTTAATGCACTTGGACAAAAGGTGCGATTGGGATAGCGCACCATTCAATGCATTTAGACAAATGTGCAATTGATTTAGAGATCAAGGGAGCGAACGTGATAACACAATCGCGATTGCACACGCGAGTACAAATACAAGGCATGCATGAGGTTGCAAAGTAGGTACATGAACAAGCATAATGGTGCAAATGGTTACAAGCGGTTATCCATAATAGAATCGACAACCTCACGAAATTGAAAAAAAACATACACTCTCGCACATAAAAATTGTCAAAAATATATTTTATCTATACTATAAATACTACACTTGTAAATACATCAATTAAATGATTCGTTCATTTACTAATCAAAGATCAACATTAGGCCAAAATGTACTTAGAATACTAGAATATACTATATACAAAACTATTAAATACTTATTCCTTGCTATTCTCAAAAAATAGAAATAACAAACATTTCAATCATTATTTAAATTTGAGAAAAAAGTTACAAAATAAAAACAATACAAGGCGTGTGGCAAAAATGTTGACATCATTATATGAAAAAATCATAAAAATAATTTATAAAAAGAATTCAAAAATTATTTAAATCCAACCTAAATTGAAATAAATGTAATAGAGTTTGAATAAAATTGGAGGTATTATTATTCAAAGATAGACTATAATAAATAAAATTGAGGCGCTTAGCCACAATTGGCGGTCCAACGTTTACCAAATCCACCACCTCCCAGATGATCTACGGCTGAGATGTACTTTCCTACGTCCGCATCCTAGATTCCACTGCTCTCAAAACCCATCTTAAATTTCTCTCTCTCTCTCCTCTTTCTTCTCCTAAAACATTCCTCTTCTCTCCGATCCCAACCTGCGCCACGTTTCCGAATTCGGAACAAATCCGATCAAATCCAGCCAGGATTGACACGAATCTGCGATTTCATCTTGAACATTCGGATATTTCAATCAATTAATTTCTGTGTTTTTTTATTTTTTTTTTGGAGATAAGAACCCTAAAAAATAACACTCCCTGTTTCGGTACAAATTTGGTGCGTATTAATTGTTTTCGTTGGGTTCACGCATGTTTGTAGCTACCGATTCGATTCCAATTGGGTGTAGAAAGGTATATAAGGAAAGAACCCTAGATTTTTCCATGGAAGAGGAATGTAATACGGCGGGTAGAGCGGTTGGAGACGTGGAGGAAGGCGAGATCTCGGATTCGGCCTCGGTGGAGGAGATCTCCGAGGAGGCTTTTATTAAGCAGCTAGACACTCCGCCTTCTTCTGTTTCTACTACTAGTACTACTACTTCTACTTCTTCTACTTCAACTGCCAAGGTAAATCCGAATGCCAATGTTTCGAGTGACCCGAACCCGAAAACGGCTAGGGTATGGACGATGAGAGATCTGTATAATAACTATCCAATATCGAGGGGTTACGCTAGGGGTTTATATAATCTCGCTTGGGCTCAAGCGGTTCAAAATAAGCCTTTGGACGAGCTTTTCGTGATGAAGAAGGCTGAGACGGATGCTTCGGTGAACGGGGAGAGTAAGAAGGATGGCACTGTGGAGGATTCTTTTAACCACAAGGTTGTGATCGACGTCGAAGACGATGTTAAAGAGGAAGGGGAGTTGGAGGAAGGTGAGATCGATTTGGATTCGGAGGTTGTTGAAAATGGGGATTTCAAGGAGGTTAATTCTGAGGCCATGGCCATGGCCGTGGATGAAATGGGGAATAAGGTTAATTTCATTAGGGAAGGACTTCGGAGTGTGACTGTAGTAGAAGCAGAGAAGTAAGTAGACATCTCGTCACTTGTTTCTCTATGAACAAACTAAATTAAAAAAGATTTATAAACAATGGAATATGTATAATGATGATGATTAACGGTGGTATTTAACTTGTTTTGTAGATACTTCGTTGAAGTCTGCTCCAGATTGCAAAGATTGTTGGATAGTTTGCATGAAATTGTTTCTGAAAATTCATTATCAGAGAAAGATGCTTTGATTGAACTGTTTTTGACTGCAATTCGAACTACTATCACCGTACGACATCCAATATAAGTTTAATCTATTGTATTTTGTCTGCTAGTAGAATATTTGTTTAGCTTAAATTATACAATGAGAGATACAATTCCCTTCTTAGTGATGATATGTTGGCTGAGTCTATTACCTATTAGGAAAAGAGTGGCTGAGTCACTTGTCATTTGCAGGTGTTCTGCTCTATGAAACAGAGTGAGAAAGAGAAACACAAAGATCACTTATCCAGGTTTTGGTTGTTCTTTTTAAGTATTTCGTTTGTCCTTTTGCTTTCTTCCCTATCTGCAGAGAAATTTGTATTTGGAAGTTAAATTTCTTGGCCATTTCTACCATCTTATTTGTACAAATTCATTTACAGAGTGCTTGTTGGTGCAAGTAACAAAAAGCCACTGCTTTTTTCCGTGCAGCAGTCCAACGAGGTGAGCTTTAAAATACTTCATGTATTTAATTACTTTGCTTAGCTAACTACACTATCGGGTAGTTGAAGCTTTTTACTGATGCGTGATGTCACAGGTGGGCAAGCTGATTCTTTCTTTAGATCTTCCGTCAGTTCCCTTGAAAACTGAAGATGAGGACTCAGAGATGAGATTGGTTCAAGAGGGTAATGTGAATGATTCAGATATATCTGATACTGATGCCTTTCAAGGCCCAGCATTTGTAAAGAGACAGGATTTAGAATCTGTATCTGCAAAATTTATTGAGTCCAACCTGTCAATAGAATCTTCAAGGCTTGGGGTGGCTAATTCCAAACCTAAAGGGTTATCACGTCCCTTGCTAGACCTTCATAAGGACCATGATGTAGATAGTCTTCCATCCCCTACACGAGAAAGTAAGCCAAGTTTTCCTATTGATAAGGCTGGAGTATTGAAGCCTGAGTTCCCCTTACCAAGAGGAGCTCTTCAGACAGGAAACTCTGTCACGCATCCTTACGAAACAGATGCCCTTAAAGCTGTTTCCTCCTATCAACAAAAATTTAGCCGTAGTTCATTTTTCATGGTGGACAGTCTTCCGAGTCCAACCCCCTCCGAAGATGGTGATAAAGGGGACACTGACATTGGTGAAGAAATTTCCAGTTCTATCACCCCAAATTGCAATTATTTGAATGCATCAGGTCCTAGACAACCTGTTGTTTCTTCTCTGCCCAACATGAATCCAGTTGGTGGACAAGAATTGAGCAATGTTAACAGTGCTGGTTCTATTGGTGTAGTTGCAACTCCTGTATCAAGGAGTTCTCCAGTAAAAATCAAAGATCCAAGGCTTCGAGCCTT